TGGGAAATTGGTCTAAAATGATGGCTCGGAATGCATTCAAATGAAGCCCATGCAATGGTCAGTAAATAAGGCATACAAGCCCGACTCTCTAATGCACTTAAAGAGTGGAAATCATGGGAATATGGCATGCATATAAGCTCTGAAATATGATGTGCAATGGCCCCAAAACATGAAAACACCTCAGTATATGCATGCGATGGACCTCAAAACTCAAAGTTAAACATGGATATTGAACTACAGGCATGCAAAACAAACATCATTCGACCATGAGACCCAAAAATAGAGCTAAGACAATCCAAAACATGCACAAAATCAGTTTAAGGCATGGCCAAAATATGCTAGGAAAGGCGGCCAAAACATCATGCAAAACAAGCTAGTGAACCATGATTTGCACTACAACTATATGAAGTACATGAGAAGTCACCAAACTAACCAAAAACAGAAGTATGCCATGCCAAAATATGACCAAAAACCCACTGAAACTCAGTCAATGCATGCAAGAATGATATGTCCCTTTGAAAGGCCAATAAGAGGGTTATTCTACACATGTATAATGGACATACAAAATGGCAAAACCACCTCTGGACAGAGGTTATGAGGGCCCTAAAACTCATTGAAAAGGGCCTGAAATGAGGCTAGGAAGCATGAAAATGAAGGCTCCTTTGAAAGGCCATGAAGAGGATTACTCTACACATGCTAGATAGACACCTAACATGGAAAAAAAACTCTGGACAGTGTTCATGTAGGTCATAAAACTCACAAATAATGGCCTGAAACATGCTCAAGAAGTGTGCAAATATGGGCTCCTTTGTAAGGCCAATAATGCTAGAAAACAAGACAAGGGGTGAGAGGGTCACCCCTCTCTGATTTTGAAGCTCAAAAATGCATAATAACCACTGAAAATCCACTGGATTTCAGTGGTCAAAAGGGCCAACAAAGCTCAACACAAAGACCCTAATGCATGGCTCAAAACAAAGAGAAATGAAGCATGCAAGGGGGTAGATGACCCCCAACAGAAAAGAGGTCTTAAACAAACATGTTAAGAATCTTAAAATAAGACTTTTTTCATTTTATGACAAAGCCCAAATATGCTTGCAAACTAGGCTAAGATATGAAACAAAACAATGCTAAAAAGGGAGAAAATGAGAGTTACCCTTGTAGTCAAAAGAGCCAGCAGCATCTGGACCAAAATAGTAAGCCTTCAACCTCTGAAAACCAGCTCCAAGTTGCTTAGAGTGATGGTGGAGGTGTTAGGATAGGAGGTGTAGTGCAATGGTGCAAGAACAATGGAGCTTTGGAGCTTGGATGTAGAGAGATAGAGAGAGTTGTATGTATATGCCTTAGCCAAAATTTTTCAACTCTTGCAAGTGGAGAGGAGGGTCTCTACTATAGAATAAGAGGTCCAAGGCTTCTCTTAGAAGCTTGGAGCAAAGGGGCCAAGCTTTTTAAGGAAGCTAAACCAAAAGGGTCAAGCCTCTTGAGGAAGTTAGACCAAAGGGGTCAAGCTTCCTCAAGAAGCTAAGAAAAGGTCAAGCTTCTCTAAGAAGCTTAGAGCAAAGGGTCCAACTTCTTTAAGAAGCCAAAACAAGAGGGTCAATCCTCCATACACGTGTATGGAGGATGGAGCAAATGCCTCCTAGCTGGCACAGCTGGATAGCACTCAGTGAGACAAAAAGGGAGAAAGCTGGCCGACCAGTTCAGGTGGTCGGCCGACCCCTTGCCCTGGTCGGCTGACCAGGTTCAAAAGGGTCAATCATCAAAACTTGGTCGACAGCCCTGATTGGTGGTCTCCCAGGTGAAAGCAACTCAGTGGTGGTATGGGAGACCAGAAAATGTGGCCCAAAAGTGAGGGAGACCAGCTCTCTAACAAGAAAACTGACCGGCAAAGAGAAAGTTGGTCTCCAAGAAGAAAAGGTGGTCTCCTACCATGGTACCACCTTCCAAACAATGAAAATAGGGACCATGCCAAAAATAAACCCACACCGATTCAAAATGAGGGTTCGGGGGCCAAAACGCGCAGCCGGGTGCCCCAAAAACTGACTATTAAGCATCAAAGGTGGCGTGCGACCACAAAGGTGGTCTCCCGGGCCATAGTGTCCCTCTAAAGAGAGGAAACAAGGTGTGTGCCAAAAATCGGAGCAAACAGAGGTAGTTAAGCAGTCCCGAACCGAGGCATACGGCCGACGGCTCTGAAAATCAAAAACTGGTCTCCAAACGGGAACAGTGGTCTACGACCACGAAAAGTAGCCTACGGCCACTGAGAGATGGTCTACGAGACCTCTCCCTTCCTTCGGAAAGAGAAAATAGAATCTGGTTCGCAAACCGAGGCAAAGCACAAAAAGTCCAGAAGTCCGGAGGCAAGGCTCTCAGCCGAGACTTCATGACCTCAGGACGAGCACAACATGCGCGATCACCGAGCGCTCAATTGATGACATCTGAGTCTTAAGGTCGGTCAAAAATGGGGTGTCTACAGTTGCCCCTCTTTGACAGAACTCGAAAGTCATAAGTGACGGGAGTGAATGTCAAAGCCCAGAGACGACCCATTTTTGACAAGACCGAAGACTTAGACAAACAAGCGAGATAAACAAGAGATGTGCCCGCAGGCGTGCCCGCAGGCAGGGGCAAAATGCAAAATGATATGCATAAAGCCGAACGTAACTCATGATCATGCAAAGCAGCAAGCTGTAATGAAGCACATATTCACAATAAATGCAACAGTTTTAAGCAAGAATGCAAAGCAAAACTATATTTCATACAGTAAGAATGTAAGAGAATCATTCAATTCTCGCTATGTCTCACACGAAGAAGATGCAATACCTGTGCGGCTTGTCTGGTCGCACCAGCTTTAAATGAACCGTACATACAATATCGTGCCTGCAAAACAGAGAAACTTAACAAGCACAACATAGTTAGCAACACATGTTCAGCACTACATCGAATGCGGATAGACATGGTGCTGATGAAAAAGCGCATCGCAATGCAACAAGAAACGTGTGCGACAACGCAAATTTAAGCATGGAGGCATGATAATACCAATGAGACGTGCACAACAATGCAAGCGATGTGCATACTAATGCAAGTGACATGCATAACAATGCAGGATAAGTGCAACTTCAAAAGCAGGTTTCAAACAAAACATCGAGCAAAGAAATGCAAGCTTTTGCGAGGGCAACCCAAATGTGACCTCCGGTTTACCTCCCGGAGGGGTCGTAACGTACTCAAAAAGGATACATCCTGCTCTTGACGAGTAACGATGAAACACGCATTGAAAGTTGGACTTGAAATTTTCGCGGAGGGATTTTGCACCAAAAAGTGCACTTTCCTTGTACTTTCTTGAGTGTTGGGGACTCCAATCACCACCAAAATTTGTAGGGAGCTCAAAGAGACATTGGAGATCCCTAGGAAGGATGGTCGACCATCATAGAGTACCACCGACCAGGTTTGATGCAAGAGGGTGGTCGGCCTACCAGGAAAGGTGGTCGGCCAACCACTTTGCTAAAAACAGGGACAGTTTGGTCATTTTACACTTATTTCTTTAAATACACATGTCCAATTCACTGTTCCTCACAACTTCAGGTCCGAAATCAGCTCTCCTTCCTTCCTAGACCATTTTCTCTCTCAGGTCTGTGCTCTATACGCGTTTTCCAACGCCCTACGCAAAGTTGTTTCGCGAAATCTTTCAGTTTTCTTCACTTTGGACCGATTAAAATTTGATTTCGAAGCTTCTTTCTCCATTTTCACCACTTGAGGTAAGTTTGTCTCAATATTTGGAACATTTTCTCGGGAGTTGACTTTTTCATTTCCCGAGAGTTGACTTTTGTTGACTTTTTCCAATTTTGGCTAATTTTGCTCATTTTTGCTCCTTTTTGCAGATTTCTTCAAATGGCGGGTCATTTTCCTCATGGCAGAGGTCCTCCAGGTGCCGGGAGTGAGCCGGACATCATGTCCTTGCCCCCGACGATTCGGCCATTTGATCCCGAGAGGTATCACCCTCGGGAGCACATCCTCCCTCTAAGTGTTTTCTTTCATTTTATCGATTTTGATCGACGAGCGCCTACGGATCTCCTGCTACGGGAGCCAGAGTCTCACCTCTCTCACCAGGTGCGAGAGGTACGTACTTCATTTTTACATTCTCTGCAATGTATTTGCATTTCTTACGCATTTCATGTTTTTGCTATATATGTTCATCTGCTCGTTCTGAACACACTTGCACACCATACTTCTGCTTATGTTAGCACATGTCTCACAGCATAGTATCTTGTTAAGTTGGCACACAGCTCAAGCACCGAATTTCTGAACACGCAGCTCATACTTTGATGATGAACACACAGCCCACTATTTGACGACGAACACACACAGTTCACTATTTCTGAAATCTGAACACACAGCTCAAACTTGTTGATTATGAACACACAGCCCACTATTTTTGAAGTCTGAACACACAGCTCAAACACTTGATGTTGAACACACAGCTCGAACTTTGAGATGAACACGCAGCCCACTGGTTGACGGCAAGCACACACAGTCCAGTATTTCTGAAATCTGAACACATAGCCCACTATTTCTGAAATCTGAACACACAGCTCAAACTTGTTGATTACGAACACACAGCCCACTGTTTTTGAAGTCTGAACACACAGCTCAAACACTTGATGTTGAACACACAGCTCGAACTTTGAGATGAACACACAGCCCACTGTTTTTGAAGTCTGAACACACTGTCCAAACTTGTTGATTATGAACACACAGCCCACACTTCAATTCTGAACACACAGCTCACTGTTTTTGAAATCTGAACACACAGCCCAAACTTGTTGATGTTGAACACACAGCTCGAACTTTGAGATGAACACACAGCCCACTCTTCAATTCTTAACACACAGCTCATACACTTCATGTTGAATACGCAGCTCACAGCATTGTATCTAATTCGATTTGCACACAGCTCACACTTTCATTTTGAAACTGAATACAGTTTTTTTTTTGTAGCAAATGTATATATGATTTTTATAATAAATAATTCTTTGCGACGGTAAAGTGTTATTTATTTAAATTTTTTTTTTTGGGCTTGCAAAATTGTTGTTGCAAAAAGTAGTTTATGCTTTGCCATCGCAAAAAATATTTGCCACCACCATATTTGCGTCCCCCATTTGTGGTTGCTTGGCAGTCGCAAAAGGTCATTTGTGACTGCATTTTCATTATTTGTGACGGCTTGTGACGGTTGCAAAAAGTACTTTTTTTAGTAGTGTGGCTATCAGTGTGTGCTTGAAACTAGTGTCTACAAAGGCGATTTTGCAACTATATTTTTGATTTCTGGCTTTTCTTTTCAGTGTTTTTATAAGAATTGTTGTTAATTTGTTTTGAAAAATAGTTGAATCTAAAGAGAAAAATAAGAAGGAAAATTTGGGCCAGTGAAAGAAAATGTTGACATTGAACCTCAATATGATTATTTTGTCTCAGAAGATGATTCAGGAACTAACACTGAGCAAAAGAGCAGTTTAACATTGAAGGCAATGAATGGGGTCAATGCCCTTGTGGTGGTGACCCGATTGTTGCTTCCATTTCATTACTGATAAGCATAATATGCAGAAGCAACATGCTGCATCTGAGCTGCTTTCAAACATAGAAAGGATGGCGGATAAAAGATTCAGTAGATCAACTCAGGCCCACAACATTACCTCTCCAACTGCAATGGTCAACTTGAACCTGACTTCATCAACTCGGCCCAAAATTCATACATCTGGTTTTGAGCAGGCAATGGAAACTTTCCTTGCAAATATTTCAGTAAAGAGGAAGGCATGGCACCAACTTCAACCAACCCAATCTCATCCGGAGCAAATAAAATGCTTTTGCAAGAGCACAAGGACGCTTGATATGATTATCAACAATACTCCATGAAGGCAAGAGGTACCTATTAAACACATAGAACACAAAAATTTCCAAAATATTGAATCCACAGTAATAAAGCAACTTTTCTGGATGTGTGATGCAGGCAAACCAGAAAAACAGAAGCGCACAGTTACAATTGATGAAATGGTGGGAGGAAGAAAGGAAAGTATTCTGTGGACGAGCAGACTCATTCATTGCCCTCATGCATCTTGTCCAAGGTACCCAAACAAGTTCTCTCTATACTTGACCTAGAAGTTTCAAATCCTTACAAAAGTTGCTAGATTTCATCCTTAAAAGCCTAGGTCGATTTTATGTAGTAGTTATCTGGTGCACAAACCTGTTATTGACTTATTCTGGTTTGCACATAGCATTCTAGGTTACCAAAAAATGAAGCCTACTAAAAAAATAAGTTCAAATTTTGTGAATACACTCACAGTAACACAGTACTAGCTACGCACCGCTACAACATGAAAGCAAAATACAAATGTTAAAGAGTTCACAAGCTATTAACTAAAATGGTGAATATAATTGACATCCAAGCAGTGTAGAAGTTCCAGATGTAGTAAGCAAAGATAGAAAAGTGCACTGTACAAAAATGCCTAAGCAGATCATGCAAAGAGTAAACTGAACATTGTCAGTCTTGCACCCGACCTTACAATTCTGATTCGTTTTAAAGACAATGCACTAAGATCATTATTCCTTTATTTTTTTTTTTGGGTGAATTTTCTTCAAAGTAGCATTTATTTTCCATTGCTACTGTCAGAATCTCTTGGATAGAAACACTATCTCTGTACCAAGAATGAACATACAAAGAAATTATATGATATTCTATGTCAAGTGCATGTAAATTAAAAGATATATTTATCTAACCAATATTTCAGGAAATAGATGCTTCTCACAGTGGAAAGGCTCAGCTGTTGACTCAGTAATAGGAGTGTTCCTTACTCAGAATGTCTTAGATCTTAACCATGATTTTTTTTATTTTTTTATTTTTTTTTTCGGAAACAAATTTCAGTATATAGAGAAAACAAATTGTATTGAAGAAAAGCCCTAGCACTGTAAAACATAGCTAAGGTCTTGCATAAACGATGAAATTCGGATACAAGGAATGAAACAATTACTCATGATAGAAATAAAGGAAAGAACAAAAGAACTTCAAAAATGGAATATCAATACTTAGGTGATTTAGAAAACCTTAAGTGAGGTGTTTAAGTTAAAAGTAATGTCGTTAAGCTATAATTATTCAATAAATTCTCTTTTTTAGAGACTAAGCGTGATTAGCTTGAGTTAAACTTGGTTACTTAAGATAATGAACAAGTGGCCTAAGCTAATTATTTCATACAACAAAAGAGAGAAGAATGGAGAAAGTTGGAGAGAAACTTTCTTCTTGAGAGGTAGAAGAGAAAAGAAAGAGAAATAAGAAGAAAATCAAAGTGAATTAAAATTCATCTATTTGGACTTGAGAATTGAACACTTAGGTGATTTAAAAAACCTTAAGTGAGGTGCTTAAGTTAAACTAAGATCGTTAAGTTATAATTAGTCAGTAAATTCTCTTTTGTAGAGAATAAACATGATTAGTTTTAGTTAAACTCGGTCACTTAAGAAAATGAAGTTGATTATATATAAATTTTGGTTTAAATTCACTTAAATGAGTAGCAAAAGCAACCCTACCAATGAAAATCTTTCCCCACATACAAACAAAATACCTGATGAAATACATGTTATAGCAAGCTCTCTTATCATGGTTCATTAGATGTTTCACCGTTTATACAAAATGGTAAGGTTTATGCATGATTACAAGTCTGGGGTTCGAGATGACTTACTTTGCGTTGTCTGGAGGAACATCTCTCAACCACTCAAGGTCAATGCTTCTATGTTTTCTAACCATTCGGTTTTAGGAAATCCTGCATAATTATGTAATCGTTATCAACTTTTTTTTTTATAGGTTTCTGCATTTAGCTTGTTATTACACATGGCCAGAGCCATTTGAAGCTGGTTTTGACAAATATGAAAATTTTAAAATATGATTTGTACTCGTACCTTGATTCACTCTGCTAGCAAGTTGTTCATTCCTAGCTCTCTGATAGAATTAGAAATCTCATTGACATCTGATGATTGTATTGCTTCGTAGTCCAGGGAGTCCATAGTAATAACTGATGTACCCTTTTGTGACTAAACTTACCACCTTTTGCATGGAGGGAGCATTAGTAGCTTCCGAACTAGGGCAGGATACCCTCCTTTCTAGGATTGTATTATTGCCTCTTTGAATGATTTAGTGAATCCTAGGTCTGACTTCTAAATTAGGACAGGGCAGCCCTACCTGCCAAATAGGCATGAATGCAAATTATGTGCTTATGTGATATTTTGGAAATGATTTGATTTGATTCCAGCGATCTAACAACGAGAAAGACAGTGATTTCATTCCCAAAATCTGGGGAGTTTGACGTGGCAGTGATTTGATTCTGTTTCAATTCGAGTTATTTGGGGGCAATGATGCAGTTACAAAGATTTGGGGGTTCAATTTAGGCAGTGATTCCTATTTGGATCATGATTTGAGTAATCAGTTGTAAATTAGGGGGGTGGTTTCCCAATTTTAAAGAATTTGAGTCTGAATTTGGGTTGTTACCTTAGTGATCACAGAAGAAGAGGAAAAAGAAAGGAATGATTGCGTTTTTAAAATTTAAATCCCCCAGAAAACATGTTATTAAAGAATAACTTCTAAAAACAAAAAAGGAACTTTTCAGCCTAAGTAGAGCCTCGGAGATTATGGAAGGTGTTTGATCGAATAAGAATCTTTAAGTCATTGACTTTAGGGGGAATTTCGAGTTTTATGAAAAATGGGAGATAAGGAAGTGGTGACCAAATCTTCAATTTTGAATAAAATTCGAAATCCCCTAGAAAGACACTTGACTAAGGAGACAATTGTTTGATTAGATACTTGGAATCAGATCGAGAGCTCCTTGGGAGGAAAGAATTGTGAAAGAACCCGAGTAGAATTTTAGAAATTATGGAAAGTTTTTGATCAGACAAAAATCTTTAGGTTTTTTACTTTAGAGGGAATTTGATTTTATGGAAAAGTATTGATGAGGACGTGATGACCGAGTCTTTCACCTTCAAGTGAAATTTTGAATTTCCTTAGAAGACATTTGACTATAAGATAACTGTTCGATTGATTTCTTGGAATAAGATCTAAAATTCTTCGAAAATTTTTTGAAAATAAAATTTGAATAGAGTTTCGAAATAATGGAAAGTTCTTTTCATTAGGTAAAAACCTTTGGGCCACTGACTTTGAGGGAACCTTAATTTTATGGACAAATGTTAGACAAGGAAGTAATGACCTAGTCTCTCATTTTGAATAAAATTTTGGTTCTTGTACGAGATATTTGGCTAAAGGGTGATCGTTTGGTTGATTCCTTGGAATAAAATCTGAACTCCTCAGAACTTTCGGAAAAAAAAGGGGAAAGGGGGTGCATTGAAATTTTAAAAAATAAAAAATAAAAAAAACGGAACTTTATTTTGAAAGAGGATTTTGAAAAAAATAGACGCTGAAATTTGATGACGTACTTTTGAAAATAAATTGGGGCACATTTCGGGAAACAATAAATAACGGAAAGACAATTGTTTAGATTGATCACTCTGGTAGGAATCCTCTAAATTCCTCAGAATGCCCTTGGTCGGGCAACTATCACCCAATGGGTGATGACGATGACTTCGAGATCCAATGGTAAGTGTTGAACAAAATTGACTGGTTCCATTCACCTATCCTCGGATTTGTTGCATAGTATTCCAGAAACTATTCGTGGGTTATGTTATGTCAACAAGGCAAGCATGAGACTATGCTACTAGTGCTGTTTGATCATTCCCTTGTGGAAGGAGTGGTATATTGATAGTAATAACTGATGTACCCTCTTGTGACCAAACTCAACCCCTTTTGCATGGAGGGAGCATTAGCAGCTTCCGAACTAGGGCAGGATACCCTCCTTTCCAGGATTGTATTATTGCCTCTTTGAATGATTTAGTGAATCCTAGGTCTGACTTCTAAATTAGGACAGGGCAGCCCTACCCGCCAAATAGGCATGAATGCAAATTATGTGCTTATGTGATATTTTGGAAATGATTTGATTTGATTCCAACGATCTAACAACGAGAAAGACAGTGATTTCATTCCCAAAATCTGGGGAGTTTGACGTGGCAGTGATTTGATTCTGTTTCAATCCGAGTTATTTGGGGGCAATGATGCAGTTACAAAGATTTGGGGGTTCAATTTAGGCAGTGATTCCTATTTGGATCATGATTTGAGTAATCAGTAGTAAATTAGGGGGGTGGTTTCCCAATTTTAAAGAATTTGAGTCTGAATTTGGGTTGTTACCTTAGTGATCACAGAAGAAGAGGAAAAAGAAAGGAATGATTGCGTTTTTAAAATTTAAATCCCCCCGAAAACATGTTATTAAAGAATAATTTCTAAAAAAAAAGGAACTTTTCAGCCTAAGTAGAGCCTCGGAGATTATGGAAGGTGTTTGATCGAATAAGAATCTTTAAGTCATTGACTTTAGGGGGAATTTCGAGTTTTATGAAAAATGGGAGATAAGGAAGTGGTGACCAAATCTTCAATTTTGAATAAAATTCGAAATCCCCTAGAAAGACATTTGACTAAGGAGACAATTGTTTGATTAGATACTTGGAATCAGATCGAGAGCTCCTTGGGAGGAAAGAATTGTGAAAGACAATCCGAGTAGAATTTTAGAAATTATGGAAAGTTTTTGATCGGACAGAAATCTTTAGGTTTTTGATGTTAGAGGGAATTTGATTTTATGGAAAAGTGTTGATGAGGAGGTGATGACCGAGTCTTTCACTTTGAAGTGGAATTTTGAATTTGCTTAGAAGACATTTGACTGTGTGGTAACTGTTTGATTGATTTCTTGGAATAAGATCTAAAATTCCTTGGAAATTTTTGACAATAAAATTTGAATAGAGTTCCGAAATTATGGAAAGTTCTTTTCATCACGTAAAAACCTTTGGGCCACTGACTTTGAGGGAACCTTAATTTTATGGTGAAATGTTGGACAAGGAAGTAATGACCAAGTCTCTCATTTCGAATAAAATTTTGGTTCTTGTACGAGATATTTGGCTAAAGGGTGATCGTTTAGTTGATTCCTTGGAATAAAATCCGAACTCCTCAGAACTTTCGGAAAAAAAGTGGAAAGGGGGTACATTGAAATGTTAAATGAAAAAAAAAAAAACACACTTTATTATGAAAATGGATTTTAAAAAAAATAGACGTTAAAATTTGATGACGTACTTTTGAAAATAAATTGGTGCACATTTCGGGAAACAATAAATAACGGAAAGACAATTGTTTAGATTGATCACTCTGGTAGGAATCCTTTAAATTCCTCAGAATTCCCTTGGTCGGGCAACTATCACCCAATGGGTGATGACGATGACTTCGAGACCCAATGGCAAGTGTTGAACAAAATTGGCTGGTTCCGTTAACCTATCCTCGGGTTTGTTGCATAGTATCCGGGACACTATTCGTGGGTTATGTTCTGTCCACAGGGCAAGCGTGAGACTATGCTACTAGTACTATTTGATCATTCCCTTGTGGAAGGAGTGGTATATTGATAGTAATAACTGATGTACCCTCTTGTGACCACAGTCAACCCCTTTTGGATGGAGGGAGCATTAGCAGCTTCCGAACTAGGGTAGGATACCCTCCTTTCCAGGATTGTATTATTGCCTCTTTGAATGATTTAGTGAATCCTAGGTCCCACTTCTAAATTAGGACAGGGCAGCCCTACCCGCCAAATAGGCATGAATGCAAATTATGTGCTTATGTGATATTTTGGAAATGATTTGATTTGATTCCAGCGATTTAACAACGAGAAAGACAGTGATTTCATTCCCGAAATCTGGGGAGTTTGACGTGGCAGTGATTTGATTTTGTTTCAATCCGAGTTATTTGGGGGCAATGATGCCGTTACAAAGATTTGGGAGTTCAATTTAGGCAGTGATTCCTATTTGGATCATGATTTGAGTAATCAGTTGTAAATTAGGGGGGTGGTTTCCCAATTTTAAAGAATTTAAGTCTAAATTTGGCTTGTTACCTTAGTGATCACAGAAGAAGAGGAAAGAGAAAGGAATGATTGTGTTTTTAAAATTTAAATCCCCCAGAAAACATGTTATTAAAGAATAACTTCTAAAAGAAAAAGAACTTTCCAGCCTAAGTAGAGCCTCTGAGATTATGGAAGGTGTTTGATCGAATAAGAATCTTTAAGTCATTGACTTTAGGGGGAATTTCGAGTTTTATGAAAAATGGGAGATAAGGAAGTGGTGACCAAATCTTCAATTTTGAATAAAATTCGAAATCCCCTAGAAAGACATTTGACTAAGGAGATAATTGTTTGATTAGATACTTGGAATCAGATCGAGAGCTCCTTGGGAGGAAAGAATTGTGAAAGAAAATCCGAGTAGAATTTTGGAAATTATGGAAAGTTTTTGATCGGACAGAAATCTTTTGGTTTTTGACTTTAGAGGGAATTTGATTTTGTGGAAAAGTATTGATGAGGAGGTGATGACTGAGTCTTTCACCTTCAAGTGAAATTTTGAATTTCCTTAGTGGACATTTGACTATAAGGTAACTGTTCGATTGATTTCTTGGAATAAGATCTAAAATTCCTCGAAAATTTTTTGAAAATAAAATTTGAATAGAGTTTCGAAATAATGGAAAGTTCTTTTCATTAGGTAAAAACCTTTGGGCCACTGACTTTGAGGGAACCTTAATTTTATGGACAAATGTTAGACAAGGAAGTAATGACCAAGTCTCTCATTTCGAATAAAATTTTGGTTCTTGTACGAGATATTTGGCTAAAGGGTGATCGTTTGGTTGATTCCTTGGAATAAAATCCGAACTTCTCAGAACTTTCCGAAAAAAAGAGGAAGGGGGGGAATATTGAAATTTTAAATATAATAAAAAACACGGCACTTTATTTTGGAAATGGATTTTGAAAAAATTAGACGTTGAATTTTTATGACGTACTTTTGAAAATAAATTTGGGCACATTTTGGGAAACAATAAATAATGGAAAGACAATTGTTTAGATTGATCACTCTGGTAGGAATCGTTGAAATTCCTCAAAATTCCCTTGGTCGGGCAACTATCACGCAATCGATAATGACGATGACTTCGAGACCCAATGGTTAGTGTTGAACAAAATTGACTGGTTCCTTTCACCTATCCTCTCGTTTGTTGCATAGTATCTCGGACACTGTTCATGGGTTATGTTATGTTAATAAGGCAAGCATGAGACTATGCTACTAGTGCTGTTTGATCATTCCCTTGTGGAAGGAGTGGTATATTGATAGTAATAACTGATGTACCCTTTTGTGACCAAACTCACCCCTATTGCATGGATGGAGCATTAACAGCTTCCGAACTAGGGCAGGATACCCTCCTTTCCAGGATTGTATTATTGCCTCTTTGAATGATTTAGTGAATCCTAGGTCTTGACTTCTAAATTAGGAGAGGGCGGCCCTACCCGCCCAATAGGCATGAATGCAAATTATGTGCTTATGTGATATTTTGGAAATGATTTGATTTGATTCCAGCGATCTAACAACGAGAAAGACAGTGATTTCATTCCCAAAATCTGGGGAGTTTGACGTGGCAGTGATTTGATTCTATTTCAATCCGAGTTATTTGGGGGCAATGATGAAGTTACAAAGATTTGGAAGTTCAATTTAGGCTGTGAT